TCTCAAGTCCCCCCAAATGCACCCACACGCTCGTCAAGTCTGAGTCTGTCTTATCAGCCTTGCAGCTGATTATATAGCCCTTTCTACTTCTTGAACCTCCTGCATCATGTCAATCTGGACATCTAGCGGGCCCCCTCCCTTCTCACTCCGCGGTTCTGGGAAGCCCCTAGAATTGCCTACAGGACGCTGGAGCCCATGTTTATGAAGAGGATCCTCACAAAAGTTTATCTCTGACCATACTTAGCCCTGTGCTGGTTAGCAGTAAATCAGACTCCAGACAAAATATGTAATCAAACAGCATGTAGCTCATATTTGGTATCAGCTTGTGTGTGTGTGTGAGAGCTGAGTGGTCATTAAGTTCATGTGAGTTGAGTTTATGTAAGTGATCAAAATATTCCCTGTTTACTTAGAATGTAGCTAACACTGGCCTAATAAGTATAAACTATATTAAGTTTGTTTTTACCACTGCAAACACCGCTTAACAGTTCAACACAGATCTTTCTTTGTGAACAGTTATTAAAAATTTAAATGACAAAAAAGACATCTTTTGTTTAAGTGAAGAAATTGAGACTTTACAGTCTTCTTAACTTGAGGATGGAAACCTAGGTCAGAGTCAACCAGTGCTCCTAGACTGATAGCAACAGGTTGGACCATATATGCAGACATGTGTCACAGGGTGTTCAAACTGTACTGAGGCCTTTAACAGGCCTTTACAGTTGATTCTGCTTAAAACTACATCATAAATCTATGAAGATGTGAATCCTCTTACCAAAATCTTACAGTGCTGCAAACATAAGTGCTTGAAGCAACTAAGATGCCTCTTGTTTTCATGTCTTTGACACAGGCTGCTGAGTCATGTTTTATTTATTCCAATGTTAATCTTGGACTCGTTTTGGTTGCAAACTTGTCGAGGCAAAGGCCTAATGGGGAAAATATTATTTCTGGACAGCATCCAGCCAGCACTGTTGTAGTGAAACATTAATGTGCAGACTCTGGAGGATTGTCATGAGGTAGCTTAGCACCTAGAGAAATGTGTAATGCCACCAGGTTTGTTTATGTCACTTTGGGTTTTAATGAGAGAGAAATAATGAATCTCTGGTGGAGCTGGACATCAATAAAAAACAATGTCCCCACCACAAATTGATTATGAATATGAAACCGAAGGTCAAGACGTGTGACCCATATACATTTATGGACATGTAAAGTGAAATAATGCACCTATATGAAGCTGCTGACAGGTGTATGACTTAAAACTACTGCTCATAAGGCTGTAGGACTGTCTGTGTGCATTTCTTTCTGCTGTATTCAATTCCCCCACTTGCTCATGCCATTCCCAGTGGGAACACATGTATGGCAGGAGACTGTTCCACAGATCAGGCGTCCATTTGGACAAGTCTCTCCTTACTCCCCCTTCATCTCCCTCTCTTCAAATGGAGGCATTAGTGCAGCGGAGACGGTGGGTGCTGCTGTGCCGAGGCTTCAGTTGCCTTGCAGCACATGTGAATTCTCAGCAGTCAGAAGCTGAAGAGGTAAGGTGCACACAGAGGGAGAAGTCAAGCTTACTTTATGGAAGCTGGACAGAACAAACAAGGCTAGCAAGCTGACAATTAAAAGTGCAGCTGTAGAAAGACAATAAAATGGGATTCTGATCAAAGAAAAGAAGGATAAAGAGTTTGGAAATGTGGTACAGAAGTGTATATAAAACAACAATTTGTTTGTGTTATATGTCAAGACAAACCATATATCTAACATACTTCAGCCCCACTCTGCAGCTTCTCTCTCTGCTACCACAGATAAATAAGCAAGCAGTTTGCTGCCAGTGTGTGAAATGGTTCTTATCTATCTCTGCCATTAAAGAGTGGGTTCTATTAAAAAGCTTTGCATTATTCAGTGAGCCAGAGAGACTGATCATTATGGATTTCAGACCTTTTCCACACCAGTCCCTGGAGTCCAGCTCGGCCTGCCAGTTGATGCATGCACAGATCTGACCTTGTGCTCTGGACTCCCTGAACTCTGGAGTGGGACGGCTAAGCTCGAGGCTGTGCATATTCCCTGCCAAACATAAAGGAAGAACTTATCAAAATCTAGCTACAAAACAGTCCCACCAGCCAACTTAGCTTTCAGGAAGACAGAATGGGTTTATAAAAATAAAATCGACCTTAACAATAGGCCTGCAAGACTGTCATGGCTTCTGAATTTTCTGGCAACAAATTACATTAGTTACACTGCGGAAGGTTCAGTAAAAGCCGATTGATATCTAACGCTATTTTTCTCAGTGTTAGAGCAGACTAAGTGGCAGACACCCAGTGAGAATGAGAGAAAACATGGCAGAACACATGGAACTGCAGAACCTTTTATGAGTCGAAAAGGAGATTAACATTGAATGGACATATGTGGCAAGCTGCTCATCTCTTACTGTAACCTGACTTCATCAAAGGTGACCTGTGTCCCTGTTGAGCGCTGTTCAACTTAACACTAACATTCAATTCTGCACGTCAGAAGCATTCCATGCAAGTCCTGGGCCCCTACGATTAGACTCTGCCATTAACCGTTAGTTAAATCCCTTGTTTTTCTGCCTATGGCTTGGCACTTTGCTGATTACCATGCACTGGATCAATAATTAAACGAATTAAAGCAGACTGCTGGGTCAATCTTTATTCCATATTAACCAGCGGCTGCCACAACGTCTTGCACAAGCTAGTTTTGAAATTCAACAGAACAAAATGAAAGGCTTGTTAATAATGTTTGGACTGTGGATTTGTTCCCTGTTTGATGGCGCAGCTTTCCATAGTGCCCTGCCACACATGGGAGGGAGAAGTCATTTGTTTCAGAGCAGGCGGTAGCTCTTCAGCTGGCAGCAAACCTGTGACTTTTATAAAAAGACTCCACTGTGGGACAAATGGCGCAGTGGCTGATGACTGTGAATATGTCCTACTGTTACTGGCAGACGTGGAAAAAGACAATGACATTCAGTTGAGAGATTCAGATTGAATTTTATGGTGCAAATTTTAGAAGGGAAATGTTACAGTTACACCACTTTTTAAGCAACAGAAATACACAGCAAAATGTATTAAAAGTGTGCTTACTTGCTTTTCCAAATTAATATGCGTCAGATTTTAATATAACCTTTGTTTTATTTGAAAAAAACTGACTATAAGCTTCTACTGTTATAGCCTAGGAGATTTCTCACCTGCATCCAATTTGAAAACGTGAACTTGTTTGTTGGTACTGGGAAAGGCTCCACATACACTGTTTGACATAATGGTTCCTTTTTGGCTCATGATAGACTAGTGGTTAGGGCGCAGCGCTCTTGCCGCTGTGGCCCGAGTTTGAGTCAGCGTTGCATCAGGAAGGGCATCCGACGTAAAACACGTGCCAAATGTCAACATGCTGTGGTGACCCCTAACGGGAAAAACACAAAAGTGACATTCACTCTTAACAGTTATGAGTTCAGGACCTTATCACTTATTACATAACTACAACTGGTGAGAAAGCAGTGACATCTCCTTCTCAAACAGCTTCATTTTAATAGTTGTAGAGACACATGAAAGTAAAAGCCAGTACTTCACACCACAGAGCCAAGTTTAAAGAATATTTAGGGGAAAAACAACTTGTGCTGCAGAAAAAATATGGTTTTGTATTACTGTTTCCAGACAGCTGTGTATTCTTTGTCAGTCATTGCCATCACTAGAGGTTTATTATCCTATAATGATCTGTGTCAGAGTGCTGGAGCTCTCCTCTCCCTGTGTATCTTATTTATTAATGCCTGAGCTCTGGGGTAGTTCCATCACATTATGTTTATTTATCTGGAAACATTTTACTTTCCTTTTGGTGCCTCGCTGTTGTAGTGGTTAGAAATAACACAACTATCAGCACATCAGAAAAGCCCAAACAGGCTTTGTGGGCTGCAGCAGCGCCTTTAGTGTGCTTCTTCTTCTTCTTTTGATCTTTAACAGTCTGTTTCTCTTCAAACAACCCTGTTCATTCAAACACCTCTAAGATACCCCCCCGCCCTACCAAAAAAAAGCACATTTAAACACATGCAAACAAATAAACAAACATATTGACCATTTTACAGGTGCAAAGTGAGAAAACACAACACACAACCAAATCAGAAGCCCTAAGGCCACCTTAGTAACCTCACTGGCAAGCAAATGCTGTAGACCTTGTCAGCTACAATTTTTCCACAGGATGTGCGATTTTACGGCGTGAGAGCGCGTATGACCGAGAGACACACTTGTGTGAAGAATAGACAGGGGCTTTAAGGTGGACCAACATACTCTCCACAGTGTCTGCCCTGCGCATTCTGAATCAAGGTTACAAAACCAGTTTCCCATATGAAGCCCGAAGATGGAAGGTAACTTATTACATCTATTCAAGTACTGTACCTTATTTAAAGTGATCCTCTGTAACTTTAGTTGGCCACAGGTGTGGCAATGAGGCAGCTAAAGGCTGATAGACAATGCTAAAATGTAACCTAAGGATAACAAAAGTGAACTGACTATCTGGGTTTTGTTTCAAGATACAGGCGCCTATTTTTTTAGTTTTTAATTAAAGGCAATTTCAATTTTCTTACTGCACTGAAAATGAGATTTTAGGACTCATTCACGCAGCCCAGCACTTTATGATGCACTGTATCAATGATATTCTGTAATATTCTGGATGCAATTTGCAGTTTAGCATATTGTGTAACCACGTTTTGCTGATAATCTTTGCTTTTACGTACAATAAATATAACTGTGTGATCTGAACTCCTGTGACACATCTGCTTGAGTCATATAAAGAAGTGATACCAGGATGTGAACTGGTCTGCATCATGCCATTTCCATCCAACGGGCTATAGATTTTCTCCACGCTTTCCTTTTTTACATACAGTCTTGTTCTCTGCTACAGTCGAAACTGGCCGAAGCAAATAGTGAGTACGACCTTAAATAAGGGGCTGGACTCTGTAGGTACAGCAGAACCCGCTGCCTCCCTTCAGTGATGCAGTGAACCTGCGCTACCTTCTGTCCGCTATATAAAGTGCGCACAGCGGCCAGAGCTCCCAGCCTTAGTGGACAGCTCCGTGGTGCTGAAACCTCAGAGACACCACTCATCAAGCCACTGCACACGGCTGGAACCATGGCCGGACTCTGGTGGAAACTTTGTTTACTTTGTTGCCTGGTTGTTATGGAGAGCTCCGCGCAAGACTTCGGACAAACGCAGTTTATTTGCACGTCGGTACCCAAGGATATGGACTTGTGCACGGCTACGATGCAGAACAGCGGGCCGGCGGAGGACATGAAGACCACGGTGATGCAGCTAAGGGAAACCGTGCTGCAGCAAAAGGAGACCATTATGAACCAAAAGGAGACAATCAGGGAACTAACGTCCAAGTTGAGCCGCTGCGAGAGTCAGAGCTTCCCGGCGGCGGCGGGACCCGGTGGGAGGCGGCCGGGGTCGAAGAACACGATGGGTGATGTGTCCCGGGGCACCACGGAAACTCTGGCCCAGTTGGGACAGACTTTACAGACGCTCAAACAGAGACTGGAGAACCTAGAGGTAGGCAAGTCCAGAAGAGCAGTGGTGACCAGGTCACAAGTTAATTAAGTTAGCTGGTTGTTAATGAGTGTTAGACCCGTAGCACAGTGCGGCGGCTTCTTAGAGCCGCATGTGCTTTAGTATCTTAAGTCTTTTTCATGACAGTCAGAGATAAGCATCGTGTAAAGTAAACCAAGTGCGGGGTAGCTGCCTTTTGCATAATGAGACACAAAGCATAAACACCAACAGATAGTAGGGGTAGGGCAGGCCTATACGATTCTAATGGGACAGAGCAAACGTGTCAGGGAGTTTAGCAGTGGAAGTCTTCCCTGTTCTGCTTTAACCCAGTGCCTGTCTCCCTCTGCCCGATGCAGCAATACAGCCGAGGGAACAACACCGCGCAGGCGAACAGCCTGAAAGATCTGCTTCAAAACAAGATAGACGACATGGAGAAACAGGTTCTGTCCCGGGTCAACACGTTAGAGGAGACCAAGCCGGGCTCCAAGAATGACAGCGAGCAGCGGAACAGAGTCGAGAGCACTCTCACCTCTCTGCACCACCGGATCACAGACTTGGAGAAAGGTGCGTTTGGATTTCAGAACGCAAAGCGCTTGAAACTGATCAGCTCAATGTTGCTTTGACGGCACTGAATGTGGCTCAGTGGGATTTCTCAACATAATTAGATCAAATTCAGTTGGTTTTTAAGGTCAGGAGCGCCTCAGCCATAAGACCCAAAGACAAAAATCTTCATTGTTAGGCTACAGCACTAATGTAGTGCCGCAACCATCACGTTGCGCACAGATAGTGTGAGCGAGGGGATGAGAGCTGCATTGTTTTGCATATCTCAAGACCCTTTTAATTCACCGAGTTTATGCCTTTCACGACCAAAACCCGGCTGTCAAACTTCCATATGAGCCTCTATGCAAAGGTTACTTTCCCCCCAGAGGTCAGAGGCAGGGAAAGTGTGCAGGGTGCGCCTGGCACTGGCGCGTTTTGGGTCATCAAAAGCTTGTTCAGCTTTCAACACGTGCAAATGCGCGTGCGTATGATGCATGTGTGAGAGAGAGCGGAGAGGGAGAAGACAGAGCCCGCCTACAAACAGGCAACAGGCAGCAAATGCTTGTAAAAACCATGTCTAATATAAGATCAGATGGGATAGCGGTAATTGAAACAGTGGGAAATAAATAAGCTGTTTTTCTACCATTGTAAATTTCTCGTTCTTTTTCATGGGCTCAAGTCTGCAAAAAATACAGGCTATGCAAGTTTATTAAGGTTTACCATAGTTCTGAGAAAAATAGTTTCTAAAGGCTATATTAAAATAACTATACTTAAAAGAAAGAAATTAATCTCATTTACAGGCAAAGACACCAGGCCAACAGATAGGTTCCAGCTCACCTTCCCCTTGAGAACCAACTACATGTATGCAAAAGCCAAGAAGAGCCTCCCTGAGATGTATTCATTCACCGTGTGTCTGTGGATCAAGTCCAACGCCTCGCCTGGGGTGGGGACGCCCTTCTCCTATGCTGTCCCGGGTCAGTCCAATGAGCTGGTCCTGATCGAGTGGGGGAACAACCCTATGGAGATTCTCATTAATGACAAGGTAATGGCAACATTATAATGATAGATAAAGACAGATTTATTATCATTGTGGCCTTTTTGCATTTATATACATACTGTGTGAATATGTGGAATAACTTACAGCGACTGCAACAGTTCTAAGATTTTGTGCCTAAATGAGTAAGAGTAACCTGAAAACTTTTCTGTGCCAGGCCTGGAAATGGAATAAAAATAGGTGTTAAGGTGAGCAACAGGAGGCCTATGAGTTTTCTGGTGGGAGGTGACTCTGTTACTAAGGTGTGAATGAGGGATTATTAACTGGAGAGAAAGATGTGACTCCGTTTCTGTCTCTGCTGCAGGTTGCAAAGCTTCCATTCCTCATCAATGATGGAAAATGGCACCACCTCTGCATCACGTGGACCACCCGGGACGGGTTGTGGGAGGCCTTCCAGGATGGAGTGCTGCGAGGCAGTGGGGAAAATCTGGCACCGTACCACCCCATCAAACCGGAGGGAGTGCTGGTCCTGGGACAAGAGCAGGTGGAGACACATTTTCAAATCATGACTAGTGTGCTTAAATCCCCCATATAGTGCACCTGGAAAGAGTCCTAAGCCAATTATGAATTTAAATGTAAAAAGAGAGTTAAAGCAGAAATAATTATTAAATGAGACTATGGCGACTTTGAAGAGATGGCCAGTAAAGGCAGTGGGTTTTTTTTTTTTTTACAGAGGAAATAAGTGTGTTGCTCACAACAACATGCTGTTATAAATTCTTCTCTGATGAGATAATGCTGTAATATAGGCCAGAGTATGGATGTATTATGAAACAATGGGCCCCAGGACACACACACACACTTAATTCTAGGTGCAAGACTCATAGTTAGTACAGTGAGGACCAAAAATAGTGTCCATCCTGCATTTCTGTCAGATAACGCACCACTTCACCTAGAAAATTGTTGCAATCACAAATTCTTTGTTATTGTCATGTTTTTCTTTTGTTTGTATTGCAACAAAACAAAAAACAGAGGGAAAAAGCCAAATCTGATACCTTCCACATAGAACTCCAGAAATGGACTGGACAGAATTACTGACACCCTCAACTTAATATTTGGTAGCACACCCTCTGGACAAAATAACTGAAATCAATCTCCATCAATGAGTTTCTTTCACTTCTCTACTGGAGTTTTGGACCACTCTTCTTTTGCCAACTGCTCCAGGTCTCTCAGATCTGAAGGGTTCCTTCTCCCAGCTGCTGTTCTGAGACCTCTCCACAGATTCTCTATGGGGTTTAGATCTGGACTCATTGCTGGCCACTTCAGAACTCTCCAGCTCATTGTCTGAAACCATTTCTGGTGCTTTTTGAAATCTGCTTTGGGTCATTGTCCTGCTGTAAGACCCATGACCTCTGATGGAGACCCAGCTTTCTGACGTTGGGCCCCAGAATTCATTGGTAGCCTTCAGATTTCATAATGCCATACACACAGTCAAGACACCCAGTGCCTGAAGCAGCAATGCGACCCCAAAACATCAGTGAAGCTTCACCATGTTTGACTGTAAGGACCATGTTCTTTTCTTTGAAGGCCTCATTTTGTTTTCTGAAAACAGTAGAATGATGTGCTCGACCAAAAAGCTCTATTATAGTCTCATCTGTCCACAGGACATTCTCCCAGAAGGACTTTGGCTTTCTCAGGTAAGTTCTGGCAAACTCCAATCTAGCTGTTTTATGTTCCTGTGTCAGTGGTGGGTCTCCCTGGGTCTCCTACCACAGCATCCCTTGTCATTCAAATGGCAACAGACAGTGTGAGCTGACACTGTTGCACCCTGTGCCTGTAGGTCAGCTTGAATTTGTTTGGAAGTTGATTGAGGTTTATCTACCATTGGAACAATCCTCCATTGCAACCTGTCATGTATTTTTCTCTTTTGTCCACATCCAGGGAGATTAGCTACAGCACCATGGGCTGTAAATGTCCTGACAATGTTGTGCACAGTGGACACAGGAACAGGAACAGCCAGATCTCTGGAGATGGACTTGGAGCCTTGAGATTGTCCATGTTTTTCCACTATTGTGGTTCTCAAATCCTCAGACAATTCTTTGCTCTTCTTTCTTTTCTTCGTGTTCAGTGTGGTCGACATGACACCAAGGTTGAGTCAACTTTTCTCCATTTTAACTGGTTGCCAGTGTGATTTCTATGTTGCCAGCACCTGTTGGTTGTTACGGGGGAGTATCATTACAAATTAAAGGTGCATCACATCCTTCAAATACAACTGTTTCTGATGATTTTGAAAAGGTGTCAATAATTCTGTCCAGTCCAGTTTTGGAGTTCTGTGTGGACTGTATCAGATTTGGCTTTTTTCTCTGCTTTTTGTGTTGTTCCAATACAAAAAGAAGCAACAAACATGAGAATAACAAGGAATTTGTTATTGCAACAATTTTCTGGGAGAAGTGGTGATTTATCTGACAGAAATGCAGGAGTGCTGATATTTTTGGTCCAGACTGTAGGTTAATCTGTAGTCAGGTGGTGCCTTCTTGTGGTTGTTTTATGTCCCTTTGTCATCGTTTTGCATTGCTTTGTGTCTGTTTTAGCCATTTTGTGTAAATTTTTATCAACTTTGGATCTCTTTCTTGCACCTATTTTTACTTGTTTTGTGTCTATTTTTGTGGTTCTGCATGTATTTGTAGTCTTTTTGCTGTCTACAGGGTCTTTTCTGTTTTTTTAAGATCTTTTTTGTCGTTTTTTTTACTAATTTTGAATCTCTTTAGTTGTTTTGCATCTATATTTTCAAATGTTGTGGTTTTTGTTTTTATTTTGTATTAATTTGATGGCCTTCCCAACAAAAAAGTTAAAAGCCTTTTCTGGGTTTTGTGGTCTGGGGCTCCCTGACCCATTGGGTCCCTTGGGCTTGTGCCTGGCTGTTCACTAATCCATCCATGAGCCTGAGGAGACTTCCATTCAAGCTTTAATGTTCCTCTGCAGCACTGACATTCATTTGTCTCATTCCACAGGATACATTGGGAGGAGGTTTTGATGCGACACAAGCTTTTGTTGGTGAGCTAGCACACTTGAATATCTGGAATAGAAAGCTTTCTGCCGCTGAGATCTACAACTTGGCAACCTGCAACAGCAAAGCACAGGCTGGCATCGTCTTCTCCTGGACGGAGAGCAACATCGAAATATTTGGCGGCACAACCAAATGGACCTTTGAGCCTTGCCGTTCACTCAACTGAACTGCATTTCACTGTTCAAGAAAGGCCTCTTTGTATTTCTGAGCTTTTGTCATTCTTGTCTTCATTTGACGTTTGTTAGAGACTGTTTGAGTTGTTGGTAAGCTTAAATCTGGGATTTCTATCATTCTTAGGTATTTATGTGCAAAACAACCCTTTTCATCTTGAGGAAAAAAAATCTAGTTCTTCTTGGGAAACCTCAGTGAGAAAGTATTGGTATCTGTTGCTCCTTTTTTCTGGGACATTCATTTAAAAGTGCACCTAAACTTTTCCTTTTGGCTTATTTCATCTTGGACTGGCAGCTGGCAATCGGCGCCTTATGTCTGGACAATTCACAGTTTAAAGTGAGGAATTACATAACCGCCCCCACTCCCTTCCCCCTGGATAGTGGGAGATTACGCTGTCCGTCCAATTCTTGTCAGTGTTTGGCGCTGTGAAGTGATGTCTGATGCGGTTTGGCTCCCTGCAAACTCCTCCACCTCCATCCCCAACGCCCCCACTCTGCTCCACCCTTCCGGAACTTGCACTGTGACTGAAGAAGAGAACGCCTGGAGAGGAGGGCATATGCTGAAGGACACTGCAAAGTCAGACTGTGGTACAAGTCCATTTGTAGTCGCTGTTCGCTTCAAGTGTTTCTGTAAGAATGTCGTTAACTTGCCAACATTGCTACAAAGTCTGGGTGCCTTGGGCTGGTACAAGTATTCAGCACATTTAGTATGTTTTCAGTTGCATATTCAATGTTTATCGGTTTCTGTTTTTTCTTTCTTCTGAGCTGGGTTGAGTTTCTTGTTCTTCTGGTAAATGTTATTTAATTACACTTTGTTAACTGACATGATGTGTTTTGGCAGGTGTTTGTACTACTCTGTATTAGGAATGTTACAGTATCTGTATAGTAACAGCATGAATGACAGAGTGCTGTGGAAGCATTGTTGAAATCTGCTTTACTATCTTCTCTGGGTCTGGGTTTTTTACTGTATTGTTATATGCTCCAAGCATGGCAAAACTGAGAGATGAAGAATTTAATTTTTGTAATAAAATTGTGATACTTAATGTCACACTGCATTCCCAGCTTCGGTTATGTGCATCTGATGGTGCGGTTATAACAGAGGGAAAGGAATGTGAGAGCAAGTGTCTACAGGGCAGAGAACCACTGCCATTTATACCTTGTCATACAGTAAAGAGGAGGAGCTAATTGCCAGAAAAGGGAAATGTCCAAAGGCAGTGAAGGTCATGAAGCGAGGGCTTCAGGAAAGGAATCAAACTATGTGGGTGCCTGTGTGCAGGGACTCATTTTAAGCTGACTGCAGAAGAACCCTGACTGACTGCAGAACCCTCTCCCTGCTTTATTGTTGCTGCTGTGAGGTGTGATGCCTGCACCACAGACAGTGAAGCTGTCAGAGGAGAAAAGTGCCTAGTCATATCAGCCTTTCAGCGATCTAGCTCAAGTGAGAGCAGCCTAAAGTAAAACCACTCTCAATATGCGCTTATGGCATGCTCCTGTGTAGCGTCAAACGTTTATATCAGAGACATGTCACTGGTGACAGTCCTGCATTTAAAGTAGACAATCTGTTATTCAAGCATCAAGAGGTGAAAGCAATATGTCAGTTTTATAAGGGAGGCCAGCTTGAGATAATTTACTGAGACATTTCAGAAAAGCTCTTCACATAGGGCAGCTGTTTATTTTTTATTATTTTCTTCATCAAGAGAACCCCTAGGGTCTCAAGTGTCTATTATATCATGTCATTTCAGATCTTACACATCACACTGTTTTATCTAAAGAAGTTTCACTCCTCTGTGTTTAGCTTGTATATAAATTCACCGAGTCTTGAATGAAATATTTCTGGGGAAAGATGTAGGTCCTCAGGATGTGTGTGGAATACATTTTTGTCTTAAGCTTGACCCTAAAGTAGGCATTCTCTATTTGTCCTTAACAAGCTGAAACCTCAGCTGCCAACATGCCTTAACATTTAAAAGGTTTTTAACTCTATCACACCAACAGAAACTATTTCAATGTTTAAATTCAGCTGCTTCCAAGCTTCATTCAACGGCAACTACGCGTCAACTTCAACTGACAGTTCAGTAGCTGTCACTACTTACTTACCAGCTGGCATGCATGAACTTTGACTGAAATTTCAATTGCTTTCATTGTATATACACTTCAACTGACATTTCACATGCTTTCAACGCATATATTCAATTTTCAGTTGAATTACTTTCAGTGTTTACATTCTAAACTAACACTGAGAAAGCCTAAATCGATAGGGTTACATTTTACACAACCACAGTCAGATTTTAACAAACACTTTTAATCTTTTCAGTGGTTCACATTCACCTGATCCTTCAACTTCTAAAACCATTTCATCTTAAAAGTAGCTCTTATACATCTTACAGTACACACAGGTGTTAATTGTTTTAAGAAATTTAGATTTATTTACAATGTTTGCACCTGCAATTTTCAGCAGAAAATGTAACCCTTTTTAGTAATCACATTGCGATTTATGAAATGAAGCTTGGCTCCTCAGAGTGGTCAGCTCATGAATACATTCATTGAGCCGTGGCTGCAAAACTTTGAGGAAGGACAAAGTCCCAGGTCCTCACTTGGGCTTCTGTTCAGTAAATGTTGTTACTGACCTTGTAGTGGATTTTCTTTAGCTGAGAGAGAATCTGCATGACCTTAACATCCCATGATGCACAGCAGCCATCAGCGGGGTCAAAGGCTGCTGATGACAAGGCATCAAGATGAAGAACATATTCCTGTAACAGCATTAAACATGCACACAGAGCAGGAAGTAAATTATTCTGTCCCATAGCTATGCTGGCAGATGGATCCCAAAACACTCAGCTTTATCAGCCAGTTGCATTTAGAGAAAATACCAGGACAGCTGAGAGGTGACTTTGTTCTGGCCACAGTGGCTGTCACTGTGCTTTCAGTCTTTCTCCCCATATTCAGGATTTAGCAGGAAGTTTGTTTCATACACTGGGAATAAAAGTGCACACTAGAAGCTCAATATAAGAGAGCACATTGTGAAGCTGAGTGTCATTTTTTAGGTTGAACTGTTTTATTTTACCGCATAGTAAAGAAATCCATATTATAATAAAATATTTGGAGACCAGCTGCTTCTTCGATTGCTCAGTGAACACCAGTTCAGGCTGGCTTAAGCAGCAGCCAAGATGAACCTGCCCCTCATCTTAACGTCGCTGTATTCAACACCCATCAGTGGGCACACAGTCATAATAGATCTGCTTATTATACTCAACAAACTCTCTGCTGCTGTAAGGATAAGGATAATCACCTTTATTGGCCAAGCATGTTACACACAAAGAATTTGTTTCCGGTACAGATCCGAGGCAGCCATCTGCGGTGCCAACTCAACCGATGGTTCTAACTATCGGGGGCAACTTGGGGGTTCAGTGTCTTGCCCAAGGACACTTCAACATGTGGACTGCAGGCACCAAGATTCAAACCTCTAACCCTCCGGTTGGGAGACAACTGCTCTACCCACTGAGCCACAGTCACCCCCAAGTAATGCTGCTAAGCCTCAACAAAATGTATTTGCCGCAGTGCAATTGCATTTGTGCCCCAGATGCTGCTTTGTGCAGAAGTTAAAATGCACATAGTAAAACAGACCCAGGAAGCCTAAAGGATGATCTCACACCTTGTATACACAAAGACTGGGCGACCTCTTACATGAATGATCCCAACTGATATTACACACTGAAATGGTCGAGGTTACACCTAGATTTGCTGGCACAGAAAATCAATTTATTACTATATAATTACTCCATAAAGCCTTGATGTAAACACTTAGAAGGTCACGTAGCTGAAGGACACTGAGTACAGAGTAACTTCTTTGGGCTTCTAAGTTGCAGTATATCACATAGTGTTTTGCTGGCAAAGCAGATATTCTAGGACATCTCCTCACCTGTCAGTGTGAACAGACGCAGTGGCTCATAGAGGAGAAGGTGCCCTACTTTACTGTTTAAGACATTACCTTATATCTTTAGGTAGAGTGCTTTTCAAAAATATCACATTCAGGGACAATATCATGTTTTGGATTGGAATAGTTGAAAATGTTGGAAAGTACACATCACTTTTTTGTCAAGCTTGTTAGCATGGATTCAGACTGAAAGCTGCATGCCAGTCATTAAATTAGTGCAGGGGGCTGCACTGTTTTAGCTGCCAGTTAAGCTTCCAGGTGAAGTAACACATTTATGTGTTTAAAGGCTAACAAGATACCAAAACATATTGAACTCCTACTGTGTTCCTTTAGACAGAACCAGGCTACATGAGTCCAGAGTCAAACCACTGACACACTATCACACTACTTCGGTAGTTGTTTTTTTCTTTGGGAGAGACTGAGTGGATAAAGATGTGACATCTCTGCTTACATCTCATTAATGCATGAGCTGTTCCCTGTAGCAGAGGCAAGACAGGAATAATAGTTCAGTTCAGAACTACAGCAATTTCTCTTGTTAACATCAGGATGACAAAGCAGCAGGGATGGGACGATGTGACTTTTTCTTGATATGATGCATCATATGATGTGTACAATTCAATTCAATCATGCTACAATTAAAAATTCAATGACAGCAATGTATGACTAGCTACAGAATACTTGTACTTCCTCTTTTTTGCCCTTTTCACACACTGGTTTGATTATGTAAAGAGCAACCAGATATACTGACTTATGTTCAGTTAGGCTCTCTTATTTACATGAACTATGAAGACGCTGGTGCATGGAGACTGCTAGACAAAACTATACATATTGTGACATTTTTGTTTTGCACTATATTGAATTTCGATTTATTGTCCCATCCCTACAAAGCAGTGCCATGTAATGAGAGTTTTGGGGGTGTCCTGATCAACAAATAAAAAAAGTGATTTGCACCAGCCCAAGGTGAAGTACCAACATCAAGATTTTTCATCAGAAGAAAGGGAGAAGGAGAGAAGGAAAGCCTTGCCTTCTTGCTTGGCACTCCTCCACTCCTTCTCCTCCCCTGGCGAGAGCTCATGGAAACAGCAGGGAGTGGAACTTGTGGCATTTACTGATCAGTAGGCGCTTCCAGGAAGGATGCAGGGAGGATAATGAGGCTTCCTGGAATCAAGGTGGATATAAGTGACACCATGAGGCTGCTCTACTGGTCAGGACTCACTGCAGGACAAAGACTTTTCACTAAATGGAGACTTGTTTAATTCCATACAGAGAAGACCTACTGCTATTTTAACAAGCTGCTTTGGGGGTGGGGGTGCCCTGATAGTTGGTTATTGTGGGTTGCACCATATATGCAAGCACAGATATAATAATGGCCAAAAAATTTATTTATTGAAAAAAGAGCCCATTTGAATCACTAAGGTGTTACTTTTATGGGTATGTAGGCTGAACATCACATGTGACAGCTGGGCTTCACAGGCCTGCAACAGCAACAGTCCTCACCCCAGCACAGGAAGACAAAATAACGTGACAATGTGAGAAGCCCTGGGAGAGGTGAATCAAAAAGCCATCCAATAGCTCGATCAGGCATTGGAGCCATCCTTAGCACGACCCCTCCCCTAATGCTTTAATGGTATAAAATGGTATCAGTGAGTCATTCTTCCTAAGAATGATGAGAAAAGGAAGAGGTGGACTGATTTCATGAAGAGCCGCACGGATGGAAATCTGAAAAGTACGTTTTGTCATAATGTAGGTTCAAGTACTTTATTCTTTAGTTTATGTTTGTTTGTCTGTTTGTATTAAAACTCTTAAATAGCTTTGCAGATACACTACATAAAGTTGCTGCACAGAAGAGGTAGGAAGGGCTCAACAGTATAGGAAACAGTAAGTTTTCATTTTCAGTTAAAGTGGTTACATTTTAGGCACATTTAAAGGTTAAGGCCGATCATTTTCAACACTCCCCACACAGAGACTAAAACCAACAGTAATTTGCCTCTACTCAGGATTAATGTCAGTCAGTCAGTCAGTCCTGGATTAGTCTCTTTATCTGTGCCATAGACCTTGATTGTTGTTCAAAAATTATTAAAAGCCCATCAGTGAAACACACCACTGCGCTGGTTAGC